TTTTTGGTGCAGTTGTAAATGGGATTGTTTTCTTAATTTCTCATTTTGCTGCTTCATTGTTAGTGTGTAGAAATGCGATGGACTTCTGTGCATTGATTTGTGTATCCTGTAACCTTCCTTTGTTTAGAAGCATTTTCTTATCTTGCTTGCTCTCAAGAGGCCATAGTTAATCCATTATCATCAGTATTTACCAGTCCTGCCATATTCCCAATAAATAAATAATTTTGATATCAAATTTAAGTATTTTGTTTAAAAGATCTCATTTCCTTCATCCCATAGAAGAGAAGGAACACACACGATGCATAAGGGCGATTCATTGTGATAATGGACATTTAAAAAACAGTCTTCACCTACTTTCAGAGTACTTCTACCTGGGCTGAACTTACAGCTGAAGAGCCCTTTCCAGTGACATTTTCATGATGTTATCTTTTACCCCCATTCTGGTCTTTTAGGGAATTCTATTGAATTATTCGTGACGTTTTCTTTCTGGGTCTATCTGAACAAGACTGGATTGTTGTTCAAAACTTGGACATAGGAACTGAAGTGGGGAGGAAAGCAATCCCTGACGTGTCAAGTTAACATTTTTCCTTTATCAATAATATGGATGAAAATCAAGGAAATCCGCAAATAACCTCGCCAACGTGAAATGTCCCTACTTCAACCCCTCAAAGGCACAGGCAGAGCTGGTAATAAACGATGCATCTTTTGTTCTCTCTGCTTATGCTCTGGGAGGCATTTGGGGCAGGAGAGAGTGGAAGTTACGGGCGGGTGAAGCCAGGAAAGGCACACGTAGGGTCAGAGTAATGCAGGGGCCTTGGAGCGATGTGACGTGTACACTCCTAGTGACCCCAAAGAGTGGCAAAGAGTGATGTGTCCCCTTGGGTTTGTGTTTCCAGCCCCGTGCTTCTATGAAATGTTTTGTGTGTTTATGTATTTTATATATTTATGATATTTTTATATATTTTTATAATATATTTATATATTTTTATATATTATGATATTTTAAAGGAGGTGACTAGGTGTTTGCAAATAAGTTTTCATATTTAATCTTAGAGACGGCATAAGGACTTACGAATTGCTTACCATGTGCTTTCAGCGACGTGGCAGCCTGTACTGAACAGTTTCAGTGAGAACAGTGATAAAATACAAATCTAGAAATATCTCATTTATCTCTCATTTTTAAGCAATGCCGAGTTTTGCAAAAGCAATTTTTCATCTATGTGATGCCTCTGTAATTAAGCCACAATTTCTTCATTTTGGAAATCCTGTCTCCCGATGAACCAGCCGTCATTTTGCACATAGCAAAAAAAAAATGCACAAAGGGATTTGCTGTGTGCAAAATGACGGCTGGTTCATCGGGAGCAAATCCCTTTGCTGTGTCGTTTGGTGTATTCAGAGAGGACCGAGGTCCTGGGCTTCTCTCCCTGCACAAAGCTTCTCCCGTGTGCCGAGCTTTCTGGGGTCTCCCGTGAACTTCGTACGGTTTTCTCTGCCTTCTCTCACTGTGGGAATAGCAGTGCCTCCTGTAGCTGTCTGCGTGCTCGCTCCGACCAGCTCGTGGGCAGGAGGCAGAGAGAGGGAAACTTGCTGGCATTGCACCAGTGGACCCCCAGGGGGACAGACTCCCACGGGCGGAGCATGTAAACTTGCACATGTGGCCTTGTGACGGACGTCATGTGACGTCAGGTGCTGTTTCAGGCATTCTAGATCTCAGGTCTCGGCGGGCGCGCTCTGAGCCCCTGGGTTCCCGCGTCCTTTGCTCCTGCTGCGCAGGTGGCTGTCCCGACCCCCTTCTCGCAGGCTCCGCACACCAGAGACAGAGCTATTGTCCCGGGACCTGTTTCCTTCAAAAGCGAATTTGGTGTTAGCAGCGTTATCGAGGTATAGTCTACACCCACGGGACCTGGGGTTTTTGACAAAAGGATGCAAACACAGTGAGCGGCAAGCAGGAGAGCGCGGCCACCTCTCCTGTCAGATGATGGATCTCGGTCCTTCTTCAGCTTCCCCACTTCCAGAACTGTGCCCTTCAATTTCCACATGCTCAGCGCTCGGAGTGGCCAACTTCTGCCAACCTGGGCAGAAAGGCTGTGACTTCCTGTGAGGCTGTGGACACGGGGTCCCTCTCCCATCTCCCTACACCCCCACCGTGGGCAGAGTCCTCTTCTGTCTGTCTGCGCTTCCGAGGACTCAGAGCTGCTTTTAATGACCGGAGTGATTTCTTTTGTTTTATGGTTCAGGCCGGCGGGAAGGATCACCCAAGGCCCCACATCACACCGTTCTTCCTTTCTCGGGTCCACTTTATCTCCTTTGTGAAGAGTGAGGTATAATTTAGGTACAGCGAACCTCGCCCTTTCCAGTGGAGCGTCCTAGGGGTTGGGGAAACACACAGTCCAGTATGGGACATCAGTGCCCCCCAGCTCCCTTTTGTCCCTCGGTCCCTTGCAGTCGACCACCTGTCCTTCCTCCTCTCCCACCTGACCCGGCCACCACCCACGGGTTTCCGGTCCTCAGGCCCTGCTTTTCTGCCCAGGGTCACAGGACAGAAGTGTGTAGTCTGTTCTCTTGGGAGTGTGTCTTCCACTTATGGTGACGCGTGTGGGATTTGTGGGGCGACCCGGCCGGGCGGTGGCCAGTGGTCCGGGCTGTGAAAGAAGTCACCTGAGGCAGAGCAAGGGAGACAGAAGTCTGCTGAATGCGCTAAGAGTGCCACGGGTTGGGCACAAAGGGGAGACTGCCTGCCAGGAGGCGGTGGTCCGTGGGGGAGGCGCTGGCTAATGGGGGAAAGGTGAGGAGGTGTGGGGACGTATGGAATTCTCCTTTTTTGGGACCTGGGCTTGGTCAGTTGGGGCCAGTGGGTATTTCGAGCTGGGTCCCCTACTGAGCCCATTGGCCTTCAGCCCAGCTGCCGTCGTGGGCCCTTCTACCTTACCCGGGTTTCCGTGGCTCAGGTCTGCTGCCTGCAAGCAGCCTCGACGGGGTTCATCTGTCTTGCAGGTACCAACCAGTGGTCCCTTTTAATTGAGTGGTATTTCGTTCTTCGGAAGCACCATTGTGCGCCTGTCCATTCACCAGATGAAGGACATTGGGCTGTTCCCTGTGTTTTGCAATGTTAAAAATTTAAAAATGCTCTGGATGTTGACACACAGGTTGGGTAAACACCCAGGAGTAAGCTTGCCGGGTCTCGTGGTAAAAGCACATTTAACTTTGCTGAATAAAGAACCGGCCAACGTTCCCGCAGCAGCTGTGCCATTTTGCTCCCCCACTTGTTCGTGATGTATTACCTTTCTTTGTCTATAGTTAGAGTCGATGCATTAATGTTTGTGAAGGATCCTTGAGTCTGTCTTCAAGAAGGTTATTAGCAGTTTTCTTGAGAAGCTTTTATTTGGTTTGATATCAGGCTAAGGCATGTCCCCCAGAGGTGCCTTCTCACCATCAGGCTGGGGTTTTAGAAAGAATGCCATAGAGATGAAGTGCCCTTCTTCTATCATATCGGGGACGTCCATGTGATGTCCCCAATAATAGCAACCTTCCTTCCTTGGTGACGTAGTGTTTGTCAGAGTCTCTTCTGTAAGCTTCCCATTCATCCCTTTCCTACTCTGCGGCGTTAGAAGTGAATCACTAAGGCTCTCCTCCAAAGGAAGTAAAGTGTGAATTCGCCACCACCTCCAGGAGGCCAAGCTTAGTCTCTGTATCCATTCTTTGGAGTTCTCCCACGGGGGGTATTTGCTTCTTGTCTCCCATTTAGTTATTTAACCATTTGTTCATATCGTTATGGATTCCTGTCTATTTATTTTCTGCTTTGGGCTGTCATCCAGGGTGGCATTATTCGTTGTTCCCGTTACTATTATTGTTCCTGTTTTGGACGTTGTCTGTATTTCTTTCAGCCCGGCGCCCGGGTCCCATTGACATGTTGCTTTAATATGTTTTGTTTAAGAACAAAACAAGTGCTTCCCGGCCCCTCTCGTTTCCTCTGCCCTTGCTACGGAACCAGCCCTTTATCCAGGGAGTCTTGGCTGTGTCCCCTCAGGCTTGCTGTCCCCGCTCTTATCCAAGCCGGAAACTTTTTACCCCCGCCTTCCTCCCATGCTCTGCCCAAGGAAGCCAGCGCCCAGGCCCCGTCTCTCCTTGGTGGAGTCTGTCTGTCCTTCAGTTCTGGGCTAGTTGGTTTCTCCGTGATCCCAACTCTCTGACGACTTCAAGGAAGTTGCAATTTCATACATTATCTCACTCTGTCTAGTTGTTGGGAGAGGAGGGACTCTCTTTCCAGTTCATCACATTCCATGGTAAAGCTGGCTCATTTTAAAAAATTTTTTTAAATGTTTTATTTATTTCTGAGAGAGAGGCAGCGTGAGCAGGGGAGGGGCAGAGAGAGAGGGACACACAGAACCTGAAGCAGGCTCCAGGCTCTGAGCTGGCTGTCAGCACAGAGCCCGATGTGGGGCTTGAACCCACAAACTGCGAGATCATGGCCTGAGCTGAAGTCGGATGCTTAACCGACTGAGCCCTCTAGGCGCCCCAAGCTGGCTCATTTTTGATATGGGCCGTGTTGGGGAGGACACGATGGTGGTGAAAGCCTCAGAGTGACCCATGGGAATCAGTGTATGAACTGAGTCTCTGGGTCCCAGTCTCCAGCTTGGTCCTTGAACTACTCTGAGTTAAGAATCCAATAGACTGGGGCTGGACCCGGAGGCCAGACTAGGGGAGATTTTTCTCATCCATGGTGATCTGTGGGCTTCATTTATCTTGGTCTCTACTCGCAGGCCAGACCAGAGTGAAGGTGGCACCTGCCATTTCACAGAAAGGTAGGTAGCCTTCCATCGCAGGCTGCCATGTTTTGACAAACAATTGTCGAGTGCACTATTATTACCAGGCAACGAACCTTTGTTGCAAACTTCAGTTCTCAGGGCTTGGTTGGAGCTGAGCGTTCCGCTCCAGGGGACCCCTGTTTATAGTTTAGGGAGAAGAGTTTCAGCTGCTAACACTGATGGTTTCCATTTCAGGAAGACAATTCACGAATGTCTTCTAAGGAAAGGTTTTCCTTAAGACACAGCACAGAGAAAAAAGGTATGTCATGTAGATGGAGAAATAAAAATGTGTGTATTCTGTGATAATTCAGCCACGGGTGAGAGTACTTGTATGATCCTGTTATAAGTGGCTCGTTAAGTTTGTCTCTTGAAATGTAGTTAAAATACGCAGAGAATATTTGATAGAGTAAAGGTCTTACTTCTTGCCCCCCATCTGTGCCCCCCAACCCAATAATAATATCACCAAATTTTAAATTTAAAATTTTTTTCATAGCTGCTTACTGATGATCATAATCATTTAGATTTGTAGTTTTACAAGGAGTTTGATGTACATGACTTCCCGGTGAGATACACTGGCCACAGTGGGAGAGGATACATTGCCGTATGAAATGACACAACGCTTGGGAACTGCTTTGCAAAGTGTAAGAATCCTACGGACATATTAACTCTTTGTCTTTTCATTATGTAAAGTGGGTGTTCTCCAGAGGAGGACACTGAGGCATAGTGTGGGTAGGAGTCCTGGCTGAGGTCACACGTTACTTCCTGTTTCTGAGCTGTGATGTAGCAGGACGCCGGCCATGTGCCTTCCTGGGTCTGAAGGTCTCTATCTGCGGGCAGTTCATTCCACAGCCACGGATTGTGCCTCGGATCCTTATCAAGAACAGCTGTGCTCTCTGCATGTAATTTAGTCCCCAAACAAAGCACCTGCAGCCCTTTTTTCCTTTAAAGTGTGGCGATTCTGGTTCCAAAAGACAGGAGTGACTTCTGAGACGACCTAGCAGTAGGGATTGCCTAGCGCTGTTTGTCACCCACCCTCCAATGGACCCACACGTGAGGTCCCAAGTGTCACTCCCCTTGCAGAAAGATAGAGGGGTGTCGACTGCAGCAGACGCCGGACGGAGCTCTGCTGGGCGAGGGGAGTAGGTGAGCCCAAACTCCCTGGTCCGGTGGGCTGGCTGTCAGCCATCCATCTCACTGCTGACTTCTCTTAGCATTACTCATATTTAAAATAAAGTAGCTCTCACGAGAGCCTTGAAGGTTCCATGTGGAGGTGCAGGCCACTGGGCTCCTGTCGCTAGAGCCACCACAGAACAGAGGGGGACGGCGCCTGGGGACCAGCAAGGCTGGGCTGTAGGAGGGTTGGTGGTTTTCAGGCTCCAAGACGATAGTGAGCTCTTCGTGCCAGCTGACTTTGTATACGACTCCCGTCTGTGGGCTCGGAGTAAAAACAGGGGGGGATACGGGCTGACTGGGGACCAGTCCTTCCTTATTCTGTTTGGGGGTTCAAGTTTAAATTTTCATTATAGGGGCGCCTGGGTGGCTCAGTCAGTTAAGCAACTGACTCTTGATTTCAGCTCAGATCGTGATCTCACGGTTCGTGGGTTCGAGCCCCATGTTGGGTTCTGTGATGACAGTGTGGAGCCTGCTTGGGATTCTCTCTTTCCCTCTCTCTCTCTGCCCCTCCCCCACTCGTGTGCATGTGTGTGCGCGCATGCACGTGAGAGCATGTGCTCTCTCTCTCAAAATAAATAAACCTAAAAAATAAAAATAAATAAATTTTCATTATAATTGTTTATGTCTCCACAATCGAGCTCTTTCAACAATTTCTACGGGATGTTGGGTAAATACAAACTCCACTGAATGCTGAGAGAGAGAATGGCTACCATTTGATCTTCTATTGTGTTTGGTGGCTTAGGAGAAAAATCATATTCAGTGTGATAAGTGCCAACAAGATAATCGGGGAATTTTTTTTTAATGTTTTATTTATTTCTGACAGAAAGAGAGACAGCGTGAGCAGGGGAGGGTCAGAGAGAGGGAGACACAGAATCCAAAGCAGGCTCCAGGCTCTGAGCTGTCAGCACAGAGCCCAACGCGTGGCTCGAACCCACAAACCGTGAGATCATGACCTGAGCCGAAGTCAGACGCTTAACTGACTGAGCCACCCAGGCGCCCCTGTTTTGTTTTGTTGAAAGAAAAGAGGTTTATCTCCCAGATGCTAGAACTGTGAGGCGTGGCACCCACGAGGCCCCCAGATCCCTACCTGGTGACCAGAAGGGAACCCGCTGGCCACCACTTGTAAGTCTGCCCCAAGTGTCCCTTCAGGTGTGGAATATGGGTCTGAGTCACTGTGTCTCTTCTTGTTATTTATTTATTGAATTTTTAAAATAGTTTTTATATACTTTTGAGACAGAGAGGGACAGAGCATGAGCGGGGGAGGGGCAGAAAGAGAGGGAGATGCAGAATCGGAAGCAGCTCCAGGCTCTGAGCTGTCAGCACAGAGCCTGACATGGGACTTGAACCCATGAACTGTGAGATCATGACCTGAGCCGAAGTCAGACGCTTAACAGGCTGAGCCCCCAGGTGCCCTTGTTATTCGATGTTTATTTGAAGGATGTTGTTCAGGTGACAGGTCATGCCAGAGAGAAGTCTCAGTGAGTCACAGCTAACCCGCCTCCCGCTCCCGCCCCTCCCGTACCCTTCCCCTGCAGTCAAGGTCTTGAGTACTTAAAAAAAATCCTATTAAGTGCTACAGGCTTTTATTGAGCTTTAAGTGTATGAAATGTATATCGAACCATCTGCTTTAACAGAGCTTTAAAAATATGCTCAGATTCCAAAATACCTTCACAGACATTTCCTTTTCCTTTTTATTTTCATCTCAACCACCTCGCCAGGTGACAGTCCTCATTTCACAGAGGAGAACAGGGTGACTACCTGTCTTGTCCTCGGTGACACAGGTGACAGAAGAAACTGCAGAAATCAAGCAAATCCATTTCTCTTCCCTCCACCCTGCCCCCCACCCATAGCTGATGAGGCACCGTGCTAGCTTCTGGGTGGGCCAGCTGTCCCAGGGGACTGACTGGCTCTGGTCTGCGGTGGGTTTACCCCTCATGCCAGCCCCACGTCACCCGATGAGGTGGCCCTGAGTGATTTTATGACCCCTCCAGTTTGTTTCCAAGTGGCCAGGTTACCTTTGGGCTCTGCTCAGTAGGTCTGTGGTTCAGTGACGGCCTTCAAGGTCTCTGGGCAGATTTGCACATGCGTACATTACCCAGCGCTGTGGGAGTTAATCAGCCAATCTGAGGCCACCAGAAATCGTGACCCAGTGCAGAGATTTATTTGGGAGAAAGGAATGAGCCCATTTCATACCTCACTTAAAAAATGTCACCTTTCCTACTGAAAGCTGGTGGCTGTTTGTGGCCATGCATCCTATCCACTTCCATGGAAGTAGGTGTGTGAAGTCTTGGAGTTCTGGCCGATTCTAACCCTGGCTTGCAGAACAGCACCTGCTTGCACTTAGTCAGAGCTCGCACGTTTTGTTTCTCTGGGGGCATGAGGCCCTCTTAAGTCCCTGGGTTTAATTTAAGGCGGTAATAATTTCATTTGTTTCCTTTTACTGGGAGTAATTTTGGGCTGTGTTCCCGTTGCTGTTATTTTTTCTTGTTTTGAGAATTGGGAAGTCGAGGGATATTCAGAGCGAAGGAACAAAAGAATCAGAAAAAAAGACCAGTATTTTTTTCCGCTGTGATTTGCAACCTTTTTACTTTGCTTCAAAGTATTCACAGCTCCAAGGGCAAAGTCGGGGAATGGGCACAGTGTGGCCCCGAGCCCGGGTGCCTGGCTCAGGGACCTGCTTTTGTGGTCTCGGTGACACGGGGCCCCTTGCCTGTCGCCTCTCTGTGTGCACAAGTTCTGCAGCCGCAGGCGAAGCGTGGCCAGGCCAGACGCTCACTCTTCGGAGACTTCATTACGTGTCTTTTTTTTTTTTTCTCCCGATGATTTTAGTCAATCTGGAAACTTAGGGATCATTGAAAATCCACTTGTAACTTACGGATTGTCCTTCAAAGAGCTATGAACGGTTGGTGGGGGTGGGGGTCCAGCAGGCGGGAAGGGCCACACACACAGCAGAGGGCATGCACCCAGGGACTGGCTTGCCCTTTAGATCAACACATTTTTAGTTCAAATGTTCATCGTGACTTTCTGAGCTTTTCTCGAGCGTGGCCTACTTTGACAGCCTCTTCTGACTTGTGGTAGCACCCTGTCCTGGCAAAGTTAATCACCAGGATTTGTTCTTAAATTTTCATTTCATGTCTTTGGGTAAAGCTAGGGGGCTGGCCTGCCTGAGCCAGGCTACTGCTTGCTTTCCTGCTGTTTTTATGTCTTTGATCGGAGGGACCCCGTGCAGCCCTCACAGCCCCTTCCCCAGCTCCCCACCCCTCAGCGCGTCCTTCCCTGCTTTTCTCCCTTGCTGTGGGCGGCCAGCGAGAAAAGCCTCTGCTCTGGGGAGCTGTTACCCGTCATTGACATCATAGTTACCCACATCCCAGCTTGGCCTCCCAGAGTCCTTTGTACGTGGAAGCCATCTTTTCTTAGAACAAGCTGACTATTGGTAAGGAGGTGTGGGAAGGAGGTGGCTGAGCTCTACCAGTAAGGCCATAAGGCCTTGGAGGCCTGTGAGGCCAGCCCTGGTCTGTAGAGGAGGATGTTAACCAAGCAGAAACTGATTCCACTGAACACACATCTTATTTGACCAAGGATAAGAAAAACTGAGAGAAAAGCAAATGGTGTTTGTCTTGGTGTTTGGCCCCCGATTTGTGTTTCCCCGTTTACCCATCAGCACGCCGAAGTGCTTCTGTGAGACCTTAGATGTTTGGTAGGCAGTAACTCAGCCAGCCGGCATTTCTATCCATTCTGTACATTACAAGTGCTGTTATTTGAGAGGTTTCATTTTTTGGCAAATCCGTTTAGTGGTGTTCTGTGATCTTTTACGTAAGTGTAAAATGATGCTTAGGACTACAACATGGTTCACGGGAGCTGGAGCATCGAGCATCCAGAAGCAGCCCTGGACCTGCTGTCCCCGGGCAGTGTCAACTCAGATGGGCCCCAGGGGCCCCAGGAAGAGGGAGGTGGACTTGGTTAGGAGGAGGTGGTAGAATCTGATGCTTCCTTTCAGTTCGGTTCGAGTTGGGCTGAATTTGTGAAATCCAAGTGTGGTCCAGCATCTTCTGTCGGCTTTTCCCAGCTGATGGGTGTGCGTGGAGAAGCCGCCCCATGGCTCCATGGGGCAGCCCATGCTGTGGCCGTGGGGACAGCTGCTGTGGGGGACCAGAGCTCAGTGGTCCCTTGGGCTGTGTGGCAGGATTGACTTTCATCCACCGGGGGTTGCTTGAGTCTTGAATCCAGTCTTTGCCTTTCAGCAGAACTAGGTCCAAGTAATTCTGGAGAAAAGCATTCACTATACTTTCTTCTCCTTAGATACTTTCCTTACTACTAAACCCAAGCTGTTTCTGAGAGTCTAAGACCCCTCCTTCTTGGGCTAGTAGAACTAACTCAATTCCTGTGTAGTATTTGGTCTACGGTCCTTCTTGGGAGATACTGTGGTTTGGCTCCAGACCGCTGCAATAAAGCAAATACCCCAATAAAGTAAATACTGAAACACAGCAAGTCAGATGAAGGCTTTGGTTTCCTACTGTGTGTACAAGTTGATGCTACACTGCGGCCTGTTGGTGTGCGTAGCATGAGGTTTAAAAAAACAGTGTAGATACTTTAAGAAATAGTTTATTGCTAAAAATGCTGTCCTCTGAGCTTTCAGTGAGTCCTCATCACAGATCACAGATCACTATCACACATGTAACAATAATGAAAAAGTCTGAAATATTGAGAGAGTTGCCAAAATGTGACAAGGAGACACGAAGTGAGCCAGTGCTGTTGGAACAATCATGTCACCAGAAAATGCTTGATGCAGGGTAGTCACAGAGCCTCCATTTGCGCTCCCCCCATCTGCAAAGTGCAATAAAGCAAAGTACAATGGGAAGACAAGGCATGCCTGAATATGAAGCCCCTCTGTGGTTTGGTAGGATGCGTAATCTTAACCTGATTCCATTATCTTTTTGAGTTCATAAAAATGTCTTGGTGTTTATAAAACAAGTTGAATTCATATGGTGCCTTTTCTCGTTAGTGATGGGAGACTCTGGGCCTTATACATGGGGATGCAGAAGACGGGCCATCTCCCCATCCTCCTGAGGGCCATGAAAACGGTGTAGGCTTTCTTCTGTTTGCTGACATCACTCCTGCAACGTGATCTTGGAGAAGCAGTCATGGGGTAGATTAAAATAGATAAGAGGACACTAATATGTAATGACCTAACATTATTTTTAAAATATTCGGGAACTGATAAGGAGAAGCAAAGCATTAATCAGAGGAAGTGAGCATTCAAATGAGTGTTAATAGCTTGTCGGCCATGGGCCCAGAGGGAAGTGTGCTGGGCAGGGCGCACTGGGGTCCAGCTACTGGCATCTGTGGCATCCAAGCGAGTCACGCAGACTCTTTGGACAGTATCTTCCTCATACAGAATTGTGGGTACATGGCCCTGTGGTGATGTTAAATGAGAAAAGCAATGTAAAGGTGTATCGAAAACTCTAAACTGTAAAAAGACATAAGGCAGTTCCTCACTGCGTGGCGGAGGGGCCCCTTCCTGCCACCGCACACCTTCATCAAGGTCTTCATTTAGTTCCCAGCCTTCTCTGCACAACTGATTGCGACCGGTCCCCCAGCCGGCATCTTCCTGCCGCTGTGCGCCAGGAGAGTGTTCAGGATGAAGCACTTGCTGACACTGAATGGTCCGGGAAAGCATTGCACCCGCCTGTACCGTATACGTTGGTTGAACTTCTTGGCAAATTTCACAGGTATAGTACCTGTAGCATAATGTGTTATGGTTCCTTTCAAACGAGATGCTGAAACGTTTCCATCAGTAGGAAGAAAAGGAGAACTAGCTTATTACATGATTGGAATTTAGTCTAGGAAAGGACCTGAAAGATCCAGCCTCCCATCTCCTCTGCAGTTTCTCTTCTGATGAGGTTCTATTCCTGTTACCACCTGGGCCTTATTTTTTGGGTGTGAAATAAAAGCTAAGGACAAAATCACTGGTTTTCAATCTTTGAAAGAAAACATTGGAAAATTTTGTAGTGGAGGAATCTGGTAGGCACTACCAACCTGAGGGGTCAAGGTTAATAGCACCAGTGATGATGTTGGTGCCTTGCATGAGGCAGTGAGAAGGGCCTCATCTCTCGAGTACTATTCCTCCAAATCCGTAACTCCAGTCTATTCATGATAAAATATCAGCTACACCAAGTTGAGGGACGGTCTACAGAATACCCGACCAGTACTCTTCAAATGTGTCACGGTCATGGAAAATAAGGAAAGACTGAGAAGCTTGTGACAGTTGGGAGGAGACTAGGAGACGCGGTGACTGACTGCAAGGTGCTGTTAAGAATTGTATCCTGGAACAGAAAAAAGGATGTTAATGGAAGAACTGGTGAATTCCACATCAAGTCTATAGTTAAACAGTATTGTCTTAACGTTCATTTTCGTTTCTAGAAACGTGCCATGGTTGTGTAAGACGTTAACACCAGGTGAAGCTGGGTGAAGAGTGGATTGGATTGGAGAATGAAGTTGACATGGGTCATTACACTGCTTGGGGTGATGAGGTCCGAGGTGTGGTCTCAGGAGAAGGGATAGAGAACAGGGTCCGCTGGATGGGATGAGGTTGCAGAGTTGAGAGGCCAGCGCTGGAAGTTTGTCTCGGGTGGCTATGGAGATCCTCAAGACGGTGACAGGGGCTCTGTAGGGAGAGAGAGGGGCTGAGGGCTGGGCGGGTCAGGGAGAGAGGGCCGTGCCACTGCAAGGAGCATAGGTGGGAGGTAGAGTCTGATGCCATGAACTATGAAGAGGCTCGAGGGTTTTAGGAGGAGGAAGGGCTCAAGGTCTAGAAATGGCCGTGAGGAGCAGGGAGAACCCGCACGTCCAAGCATGTGGAAGAGCAGGCCGCCCCCATGTGGGGGAGACACAGTCCTGAGGAGGGTGTGGCCTGGGTAATCTTTTCTGCAGGGCACTTTGAAGCTTGTGTACCTCTGAGTCAGCCATCTACATCTGGAAGTTTATCCCCAGGCTATAAAATCAGATGATTTCTTACTCTCTACGGCCAGAATCATGCAGGTTACAACTTCTAACAGCAGGTGGTGGGTCTGTGACTTGAATTTATTTCCATTTTGGGGGGCTTTTCTCTGTTTTCCCAACTTTCTATCATAAGCACATTTGGATACCAAAAATTCAAGAATTTTAAGAATAGAAAAGTCTATACTGGCTGCAGGTAGGCTCATTAGGGTAACCTGTTATTCTGGGTCCCCAGGCCCCTTGAAGCCACTATCAGAAATGTTGTGAATTCAAACTATATTTTCAAAAATTTTTAACGTTTATTTATTTTGAGAGAGAGAGATAGAGCACAAGCAGGAGAGAGACAGAGGGAGACACAGAATCTGAAGCAGCTCCAGGCTCTGAGCTGTCAGCACAGAGCCTGACACGGGGCTTGAACTCATGAACCGTGAGATCATGACCCGAGCCGAAGTTGGAAGCTCAACCGACTGAGCCACGCAGGTGCCCCCAAACTCTTTTTTGACTAAATTTGTAATTCCTTCTAAGGACTTGGAAAATGTCTTTGCTAGTTTATTTGAAAACATTCTAGCCGACAGAGAAACCAGATGGCTAGGTAATAGTTACAGAATATAAAAATTAAATGCTACCTAACTCTGGGCTTCTAACTTTTTGTAAGTGAATTATACTTTAAGCCCAAACGCTGGATTTATTGTCACCCATTTGAGCCTGACATCTTACTTCATAACCAGCAGCTGCCGGGCACTCTGGCAGTCACAAAAATAAGTGCAAATGAACAGGAGTCTTCAAGGCAGGCGCTAACGACTGTACACACACACACTCAAGTTGTGTTACGCCATAAAACAGACAAGTGAGGGACTTCTTTGTGGACGAAGGCGGGTTTTTTTGTGAAATCGCCCGGCTGTTGTGGTGAGTCTGGTTCCTGGTGGTCTCTGACCGCCTGCAATGTCATCACACCCAGCCTTTTCCTGAACCCCTGGCTCTCGTTCATTCCCCTCTGCCCCAATTTTCAGACTCCCCCAGCTGCTGCTGTTGGCAGTTTAATCTCTCCGATCAAATCTTGTAACAGCTTCTCGAATTTCTTCCTCCAGCGGCTGTCAGCCACCCCAGCTGCTCTTGTATATCTTTTTCATCCCGCTCACCAAAATGTCAGGCCTTCCGTCTAGCTGTTTGGCCCCGGAGTTCAAGTTGACTGATGTGCTTATTAGCAACGGTATTTCTGCATTAATTATGCTGGTGGAAACCTTGACGCAGTGATACACTTAGAAGCACGCATCTGTAATAGAACAAATGTTCTCACGCTATGTGCACACATTGGCAGAGACTCCATAAACCTCCAAATACCTGAAGTCAAAGCAAAATTGCCAGATAAGATGGTAAATGGGGCAGGTCCACAGAAGCTGGACTGCCTTTGTTGACGTTGTACCGAATGGATTAACGTGTTACACTTTGCAAGCGTTGATGTAAGCCATACATGTCTACTTTCAGTGTTCTCCATTTTAGACTGACTGTTCTATCTTTGTTGCTATTTACTATTGCGGTTTTTGAAAAGCCGCTGCTGTGTAAGTCGAGCTGGTTTACATTTCCTGGTTGTTCGTAGGGTACAACCCAACACCTGCATTTTACGGTTTATTGGTGCAACGAGAGACTCCGTTACCTACTAAAGCTTGTGTGGAGCAAAGGAGATGGCACCATCCGCCCCGGACGTCCCTCGATGAAGCTGCAGGAGGAAACAGTTGAAGAAAAAAGAATGCCTTCACGAAAGGCATTTTTTTCCTTTAGAGGAAAAAAATCAGAGCACAATTTTTCCAGTTTGCCTTGTAATCTCAGAAACTACGCTTTGCATAATGTTGGCATGACTTCCTGTATAATCGTTCGCGATTACCCTCTTACTGAAATTGGCTCTAAATTCTCTCTAAACTAGTCAACGTGGTAACATTTCAGCAATTCTTTTAGCTCTTACATCGAAATCTCATAACATGTAAACCCTTTGGTCAGTTTATTAATATCTGCTGTTTGTCTCTTTCTAGCATCTCTCAAGGACCTCAGCAAGAATAAAAAAGTGGTTCCGTTTCCTGGTAAGAGAGTGAATTATTGACGATCATTTATGGGGAGTGTACGACACGTGCAGGTGGCTGCTCTGGGCTCACTTTGTCCATTTGTGAGTTTCCCCTTTGAAAATGTGCGAAGTAGGTCACTTCAGACATTGCCCCAGCCCGGCCTGGCATCTGCGGCCATCCGTTTGCAGGTAGCCTTCCGCTTGTATTACGTGGCTTTGAACAAATGCCTTAACTCTTTCATGGCGAAGCAGGGACCCCTCTGAGCCATATTTTATATGGCGCAGTTTTGAGGGGAGTTGACAAGTGGAAGTTTTGACGTCACTGTAGGGCGGTGCTGTCTGTCAGCTCACAGTTCATGCGCTTGTTTTAATATTTTACTGCACACCCTTGGGTATGTTGGGAAAAAAAAGAAGTAGAGAAGAGGAAAAACAAAACTCCTGAAACTTGTGACGAGAAGTACGGGTTTCAGACAGGAGACTTCAGACAGATAAGCGCACTGAAGGGACCCATTTGTAGCCGTATTTAGAGGTCTCCTGGATCAGAGGTTTAGTTCTGGAGGAAGATATAGCACGTGTACGTGACACTAGCAATATCCCACAGGCGATTGCATTTGAAAGGCAAGGAGGGCTCAGGGGGTTTTGAAAAATGTTTTATTATGTATTAATATAACACATATAGTGTTTTATGTTATATTAATATTTAATGTAATTTTATATTACATTTTATGGTAACGCATTACTCATAAACGTGCTTTAATATCTTAATTCTATTTTTAATCTTGCACTCGAATGTTCTCTGTTTTTAGGAACACTTTGTGTGTAGGGTTAGGGGGTAGCTGGTTGATTCATTATTTATTGCATTACTCTTTCATTTATCCAACACGTTCTGAGTACCTGCTGCCTGTGGGGTTGAGCTGGGTGCTGGAGAACAAAGATGAGTGAGGTGGTCCGTGGCGGCCAGTGGGGGCGGGCGGGCTGTGAGCGGGGATCGCACCCACTGGCGGGCGGGAGCATGCAGGAGGGCGCAGAGCCTGCAAGCCTCCTGGGGTTTGCAAAGGGCGGCCTCCCCTGTGCAGCCCTCACCGCCTCTGCCGGTCCTTTGTCACACAGTCATGTTACCGTCTTAGTCCCCCGCCCTCCCTTTGCCGTTTAAACTTGCACGTGATCACGAGGAGTATCATATCACGGGTCCATCAATGTTAACAGCTCACTGCTTCCATTCACTGATCTCCATAATCCTACATTTTTAAGATTCATACTTTTACCCCTATTTTTCAAGAAAGAAAGAACTGAACCCCAGAAAGGGGAAGGCGACTTGTCCAGTATTATTGTTAAAGTTGGTGGGGGGTGGTGGGGGCAGGACTCCCACCCAGAGGAGCTGCCGGTTTTACGCGGGGTACTTGCTGGGTGCCGAGGGGTGCATGTGAGTGAAGCTCGGTTTTGCTGTCCCCGAGGGGCTTCTCGACACCGGGGTTGGGGGCGGATGCATAAGCGGAGGTGGGTGGGTACCGGGGAAGGTCCCTGAAGGAGAACAGTGGTCTGTCTGGGCCCGGGAGGGGCTGCAGGGACTTAAAGATGGCGTGACAAAGGAGAGGACAGCTCGGCGGGGCGTGGATGGCCCGTGGGGAGCCGCCAAGCAGGGGAGGAGGGCCCGCAGGTGCCGTGGGTGCAGTGGTGGCCACAGGCAGTGGGTGCAGGGGCCCGCAGTCCACACAAGGCACATGCGCAGGAGTGCTGGGGGCAGGAGGTGGCTGTGCCTTTCGGTTGGTTTTAGGTCCTGCAGGGTAGGCTGGGACCAGTAAGGGCCGAGTGTCGGGGGCTTTGCACAGAGATTCTTTCTGGATCGTGCAAGGTGTAGCGAGGGCTGGAGGCTCCCCTGGGTGACTCTCCCCAGCGGTGACACGGGCCCTTGGTTTGGGCGTGCCTCCATCTCCCACACATGGCGTGGTTTGCAGGGGGAGGAGGCTGCCTCAGACAGTCGCCTTCTCAGCCCAGAGTGGCCGGCATCTCCTCTCACAGCCCTTTGGTCAGAATGGGCGTCTGGCCTCTTGTGGAGCCCTCAGTCTGGAAGGGTCTCTGGCGGCTCCACCTGAGGGATGGGGGAGGGGATCCGGTCTGGCGGCCACTGGCATCACTGCTGCTGCCTCCTGTGTCATTCTGAGGGTTTGGGGCTTTGTCCTGGAGGTGTGTCACAGCAGGCGGGTGACATGATCACATTGATGTTTAAGATAATGACATGGACATCAGGGGGAGAAGGACAAGGTGACAATATTACCTTCAGTCACAATATTCTGTGATGGAGTCCTGGACAAGATAGGGCCACAGAGCGGGGACAGCATCCCGGGAGGTGACGGAGGCCTGGACGGGACTGGGCCCCAGAGAAAGGGCTTTGCAGGAAGATTTCTGGATTTGACCATATTGACAGAACTTGGCCACAGGTTGGACGTGAGGGGTGAGGGTGAAGTCAGAGGTTCTGGGTTGGGGCCTTGTTCTTGCTTCCATGAAGGAGAGAAAGAGCAGTTTTTCGGGGAAGGCCACAGGCAAGCACGTGGGCAGACACACCTGGCGTCTCGGGGCCGCTGTGAGGCCTCTCACTGAAGGCGCCCGTCCACAGGTAAATTCAAGCAGGGGTGTTTTCGGTGTCCAGGCGTTCGGTGCCCGGTGTCACGTTTCACTATAGGAACCGATGGTATCGTCACCGACAGACATGGTTTGGGAAGTGATAGGTTCGTCTTCTTTCTGCTTCTATGGGTTGTTTTCATGTGTTGGTGCCTCTTCTGGAGAAAGATGGTGGCTCTGGATTCTCCTGCACTTTGATTCTTCCTTTTTGATTTTACTAAAAGTGCCTTCTTTCTATTAGTGACTCAGAAAAAGCAGGAGTCTTTCCTATGGTTTTTCAATTTTTAAGCAACTAGTTATTATATCTACTTAATTAATATTTGTTAGCATATCGTTTATACTTGCTTCCCTTAACCTTCTCTGATACTAGTACATCCTATTTTATGCTTATTTAAGATCCTATCTCCAAGCAAGAATAAAAGTGATAATGTATGTAAAGCACATTATTGTAAGTTTAATAGCCCATGTGAGAATTATTTTTATTAACATTATCACTATCTATGAAATTGATGATACAGTAGCCATGTTTGTTATTTTATGATTTATTTCACTTGAATTAGATGGCTACTATGCTTATTGGTGATTTTGTTTTATTTTGTTTACTGAAAACAAGAAAAAGAACCATATGACATTCTAGAGGGAAAAATCACACCTGTACTTCTAGAAACCCCAGTAAGAATAGAAGACCAAAGAGAGCCACCAATGGAACAGCAGTCACTAGAAGAATCATCATCAAGACAATCAGAAGAAGAACCTGAGGAACAAGAATTACTTGACCAGTCATCCGGGGGACAGTCATCCCGAGAGCAGATACCCGACAAACGAGAATCATCTACACAGCCATCATTGGGGCAAAAAGAGATGACCCACGGAGGAAAAACTGAAGAACAGATACCATGAAAACAAAATATCAGCCATGTTGGAAAGAGGAACAGTCAGAAGCTAGAAAGGATCATAAGGCAAATGAAAATAAAGTCAGACATTTATTTCACAGGATGCTGAAGAGGTATGCTGGCACAATATTAAAATTGTGCATTTCATATTTTGGTGGCCAAAGTTTAAAAAAGTGATTAAGACTAAATTCGTCTGGAATTCCTTCCCTTGTTCCCTGAATTTTAGTAAAGCTGGGAGGGGAGGGAAGTGATTAGTGAGATGTGATGTGTATCACCGCCTGGCTCACCCCTTCACTTCTTAGAGCATCCGTCTGTATCTCGTGTTCCAGGTGACTCGGTTGCCCTGAAAATGGCACATATTTACATAGTTATCTATGATTATTTTTTTCTATTTAAAAGTGAATTAGGGTAACATAATAGTTGTACATATATATATACACACACAAACACATTTACATCATACGTGCACACACATGCTTTAAATGTCAGAAATTGTAGCAGAACCCATGGAATGGTACATTTTTGGTGATTAAGAGAATGGACTCTCAAGTCAGATAATACAAGTTTGGCCTCTCCACTCATTAAGTGTGTGAACTATGTCTGTGCCTCAGTTACTCCTCTATAAATTGGGGCCAATTATAATACTGAATTCAAAAGTTGTTGGGATATTTTAAAGCAATAATACTTATGTTTTTAAAAATAGTTTATTGTCAAGTTGGTTTCCATATAACACCCAGTGCTCATCCCCACAAGTGCCCTCCTCCATGTTTTAAAGATTTATTTATTTATTTTGGGGGGCAGGGGCAGAGAGGGAGATAGAGTACATGCAAGCAGGGGAGGGGCAGGGAGAAGGGAGAGAGGGGAGCCCGAGCAGGCTCCACGCTGTTAGCTCGGAGCCTGACGCAGGGCTCGATTCCACAAACTGTGAGATCATGACCTGAGCCAAAGTCAGGAGTTGGACGCCCAACTGACTGAGCCACCCAGGTGCCCCTAAAGCAATGATACTTGTTATAAAGTACTTAGAGCAGTGCTGGACACATGAAATGCACTAAAATATGTTAGTTATTACCGTTATTTCATTTTGGTTGTTTTTTTTTGTTTGTTTGTTATTAAATGAGAGAAGACAAGCAGATTATTCTACCCAGGTTCTCTGCTAAGATCATTATTATTGTATTTGAGCTTCTTGCCTGCCGGAGCAAACGTAGAAGCAAGGATTTTAGGATTGTCAGAGTCCACTTAGAAATCAAACCAGAGCTGCGCCGTTGTTGATTAGTCATGCAGTGCTGGCATGTTGAAGGAGAAAGGAAAGCTATTGTGTCACCATAATTATGGTTTCTTGATTTATTGTTGGATTTGACTGTAGCATTTATGACTCCTTGAGGAGGAAATTGGGATCAAATGGAAACCATCTACATCTCATCTTCTGCTGTTTTTGGCTAACAAGCTTCTGGTGGAGAGTCCAGGTGTAGCTCCGTGCATAGTCCATATTTTGGTGCTTGAGAAAGAACGTTAGAACGGCATTCCCCCCTCCTTTTTGCCTGAGGCCTCTGTCTGCTGTCCTGGTGTACGTCGTCACATGAAGAGGGTGCCCTGGTTGAGAACCGCAGGTCTGGGCCAGGTGCCAGCTGCGTTGACCGTACACTCCTGAACGTTTGCTTGTCGTTTCCAAGCGGTGAAGTGAGAATGTTGGCGCTGTGGGCACCCCTAGCGGTGGCAGAAGGCACAGCAGGCATCGTGCCCCAGTCACCATGAGGGTCAGAGGCCGCCCAGTCCTGTGTGACTGTACCTTCAAGTGGCAGGGGCAGGTCTCGAACTCACGTGTTTCTTTTCTTTCTTCCCTAAAAAAAAATTAGTTCTAAATCCACTGTAATACTCAACCTCATACGCGTAAGTGTGTGAAGCACATGAAAGGAGGCTCTCTGAAATTCCTCCTACCATCCTGGCATAATATAGGTTCATTTTATTTTCACAGGCATTCGTTTTATTTTCACTGCTTCATGTAAAATATTGCATCGGGATGATGTTCATATTTCGGGCTGAGTCTTAGGGGAGGTCTTCCCCCCTAACCTCTTCGGAGAGTTATTTCATATGAAAGCCAAACAAGGGAATGCAGACCCAAACGATGCCAGGGTCTTAACACGTGTGAAGATGTGGGACCGAGGTTGGAAGGGGAGATGTGGACGAAGGGCTATTTTATTCTATTTTATACTATTTTATTTATTTTCATTTTAGAATAAATAAAATAAAAGTGTCGTCAGCATACAGGGCTGTACTAGTTTCAGGTGTGCAATACGGTGACTCAACACTTGCGTACATTACTTAGTGCTCATCCGGAGACGTGTTCTCTTCATCCCTGTCGCCTGTTTCCCCCACCCCCACCCCCACTCCCCGCCCACCTCCCTCTGGTGACCGTCAGTGTGTTCTCTTAGAGTTATGAGTCTGTGTCTCGGTTTGTCTCCCCCCCCCCCATTTTGGTTTATTTATTTTGTTTCTTAAATTCCACTTATGTGTGGTACGTGCCTTTTTCTGACAGGCTTATTTGACTTAGCATTGTACCCTCTAGATCCACCCATGTTGTTGCAAATGGCGAAATTTCATTTTATATATTTATTTGTGTATTTATTATTATTATTTACTTTAGAGAGAGAGTGTGTGAGTGGGGGAGATGGGCAGAGGGAATGAGAAAGAGAATCTCAAGCAGGCCCCATGCTCAGTGCAGAGCCTCATGCAGGGCTTGATCTCACGATTATGAGATCATGACTTGAGCCAAAATCAAGAGTCAGATGCTCAATGAACTGAGCTACCCAGGTGCCCCAAGATTGCATTCTTTGTTATGGCTGAGTCATATTCCACTGTACACCACTTCTTCTTTATCTGTTCATCCACTGATGGACACTTGGGCTATTTCCATATATTGGCTATTGTAAATAATGCTGCTATAAACATGAGGGTACATGTATCCCTTCAAATTAGTGTTTTAGCATTCTTTGGGAAATAACCAGTAGAGCAATTGCTGGGTCATAGGGTAGCTCTACTTTTGACATTTTGAGGAGCCTCCGTACTGTTCCCCAGAGCAGCTGCACACCAGCTTACATTCCCACCAGCCTTGCATGGGGGTCCCCTTTCTCCATGTCCTCGCCAATGCCTGTTGTTTCTTGTGCTGCTGACTTTAGCCACTCTGACAGGTGTGAGGTGATATCTCATGGTAGTTTTGATTTGCTTTTCAGGAAAGGGCTTCTCTAGATCAACCGCTGAACTAATGAGATATGATATGACCGCTGAAATAATTTCAGAATACATTTTCAAGGTCGTTTCTGTATCAGTACCTGCCTGGGAGCAAACTGGTGTCTCGACGCTTTGGGATATTTTCACCTACTACTGTAATTCTTAACATGCCACAGGCTGCCATCTAGAAAAACACCCAGAACTTGGAGTAAAATGTGGCCAGAACTTGGAGTAAAATGTGGCCAGATAATCGTTTTGGGAAGTTCTCTTTTAATCTGCTTTTTTATGTCTTTCGGGTGGCCTGGGAGCAGAAAACAATAAACTAAAAAACTTTCTATCTACTTGACGTCAATTTTCCTTCAGTCATGGCGCTTCCATCTCACATATGAACATTTTAACAGGGAGAAGATCATGTCTGGGGGAAATGAGCCCATGGATTGTGTCTTCTCAAAAGCTAAAGCTGAGGGTTTTCCAAAGGATCCCATAGTGTTCTAAGTCCTTTCCTTGGTGGTATTTCTTTTTAGTAAACATTTGAAAGAATGACATGTAGTTCTTTATAATCAAGTCTCACAAAGATCATTTAGAGAACTGGAGGAATTTGGAATAACCCGGGTGCATATCCCCCTCATTTGTTTTTCTCAGAATGTGTATTGGAAGGTATTGGTTCATTATTGGAAGGTATGATTCTCACTGATAGGGATCTAGAACCTCTGCTATGTGAAGTTCTAAGTATGAAAATATTTTACCTTCTGAATGATCAGTTCAAAATGAAAAAAATCCGGGGCGCCTGGGTGGCTTAATCGGTTGAGCGTCCGACTTTCGCTTAGGTCATAATCTCGCGGTTCGTGGGTTCGAGCCCCACGTCGGGCTCTGTGCTGACTGCCAGCTCAGAGCCTGGAGACTATTTCAGAGTCTGTGTCTCCCTCTCTCTCTGACCCTCCCCTGCTCACGCTGTCTCTCTCTCTCTCTCCTAGAAATAAATTTAAAGAAAAAAAAATCCAAGGTTAGCTGGAAAAAGGATTTTACTCATTTACTTATGTGTTTTCATGAAGACAAAAGTGATAGCCATACAACTAAGTGCAAAGATTTGAGTTTTCTTTAGCAAAGGTTTTAATGTTAGCAAATAGCATATGTCTTCAAATCCATGGACATTTGAAGAACTGAAGATGGTTTTGTTGATACAGCTTTATCTCTCTTCTGTTTGCATTCTAGTCCTAGTCAAAGAAGCTGTAGGCTGTTTACCTTTACATTTTGGTGAAAAAAGAAATCACGTGCTATTTACAAGGTGAAATTTTCACAGTAGAGACTTTAGTGTTTTTGGCAGGTACCGACCACTATCATCTTAAAAACTTAAAGGTATTTACTGTTACAACTATTGTTGAAGTATTACAGCCATTGACAGTAGGCTCAATAGTTTCATCTTCTTATATTTTTGCTGATGCTTAAAAATGTTTCAGAAATTGGTCTCCATTAAAGTTTATTTTTATTTAACTTCAAATGTCTACTTCCTAGACTGTTCAAAACTCATACTTGCCCTTTGAAAGCAGCCAGATTTTATGTACTGGATGGGCCCATTTTCAGAATCTTTGAGGAATTATCATTGTTCATAATTCCATTTTCATTCATTATAAATCAAACTAGTCTTTTATAAAACATTGAATATGAACTTTTTTTCCTGTAGAGTAATTTTCTCTGTTGGAGTCACTCAAGGTTGCTGCGTCGATTCCCCAAACCACAGGCTGAAATCTCTCCCCGGAGCACCTCGGTGGCTTAGGGTCTCCAGTGCTTGGAAACATACGAGGCCTTTCAGGGATGTTTTTGCAAATTAAAAAAAATTTTTTTTAAATGTTTTATTTATTTCTGAGAGGGAAAGACAGCTGAGCA